AAAGAGTGCATGCATTAAACAGTGTTTAAATGTCTTAGCAGAAGAAAACCTCAATTAATTTGGTTTTATGACACTCCTCAAAAGCAAAAATGCTGCAAATTCTCCTTTGAAATTTGCTATTACATGGATATTCGATGCTAAGAAATTTGTCATACTAATGGTAATTTACATTCTGTCCAATCAGTTACTTGTTTTTAGAGCACTTCAAATGTTTCATCAAAGTTTGACTAAACCAGTGGCTCTGTTATGAAGAGGTTACCCAGAGAACTCACGACTTTACCACTGTATAGATTGGTAGGTTTGTAAGCCTGATAGACTATGTGCCTATTTTAGGATCTTCTGCAGACGACAGCTTGATCTGCAAGGAGAGAGAGTACATGCAAGATCCAGAGCACAAAAATAAAAAAGTTTTGCTCCATTTCAATGTTCTTTATATTTAGAAAACCAAGAGTTGTCTGGAGACCTGAGTTTGTCGGACTGCTGGCATCCCTACCTAAGAGTTGATGAGAGAATCCAGTAGTACTAATTGGAAATACTGTATTTGATATGTTCACATATTTAGGTCAGCCATGCATCATCTTTTCCATAGTACATCTTATTTTTTCTCCCAGTGGAGACCTTCCGTGAATTTTTGTTGAATGAGATCTCAATGTGGTAAATGAGTGAGTCATTGTTTTAATGTGCCTAATCATTAGGGGCTGCATAGGAAAAGGAGAGAGGTTCATTGCAATATACTGGGTGGTGAAGGGCTTTGAACGGGGAGGTTGGGGCTTTTGGGGGCAGAGGAATGAGGACCATCTGATGGGTGTGAATGGATATGGTGCTTTGGGATGATGTATTACAAGGTATAGAGAGCTCTGGGTCAAAACATGGTGATGGGGAGATATGAGGACCAATTCTTTTCCAAAACATCTTTTTTTGCTTTGAGAATGTAAGAGCTCTAAGGATACAAAGTTGGATGTGGCAACCGTGACTGGGAATCCCATATAGGAGAAGAAGGGTTGCAGTCTTATCACAAAGAAAATATTTGGTGATTATGTTAGCTGGTATATTTGGAAGAGATGACAATGAAGAAACAAAACCACCAACAACAAAAAATGAGAATGTGATACATTTTCTTCTTTAAGCTTAAGAAATGCAGACCTTCCTGCTGTGCTTAGATATATAAATTTGCTCTCACTGAGTAGGAAAAGGAGACACATGGGAATTAAGTGCAAGAGGAACAAGTATATTAACTCCTTCTTCTCCAAATCTAAACCTACCCTGCTGATTGATTTTTAAAAGGGACAGTAAAAATGTCCTTGTTTCTGGAGTTTTCATTTAGTGTTAATTGAGCACTTTTTTTGTTTCCTAAAATGTGTTGACACTGTAAATATGTAGAAAACTACTACATTTATCAAGTCATCATGATACCAAAATCACCTGGGTAGGTGATTAGGTTAGTTACAAATTTTTTTTTTATTTGACAGCTGAAAATGATAGCCCTATGATTATCTGTATTTAAAAAAAAAAAAAAAAAGAAATAATTTCTCTACACAAGTTACATATTGCGCTTTTTAATTTCCCTGATTTGTACCTCTTAAGTTCCATCTGTTGTTCTGAATTTTGTTTGAGGGGAATGATGAAAACTTTCCTTCTGAGGTAGACCAGAGTCTGTGTTCGTGGACTGGTTGCCAAGTCTTGTCCTCATGACAGTAAACAGAAACGTTAGATCAGAGTGAGAATCCTTTGTAATTCTCTAAGTATGTAAAATAGATGGACAAATGGAACTGAGAGACTGGGGACTTAAATTCCAACAAGTCCCATCTTGCATATATAGGATTCAGTAACTATTCTTCTCTTTTTCCTTTTAGAAGTGTATGATTCAGTTCTAAAGATACACTTCGAAAACAATTTTTAACTTACATGCTAAATGTTCTGTGATATTTTCATAAACAAAATCATTTTCCAACAAAGTATTGCTTGTTTTTTTTAAGAATGTTTTTCATAGTTTCATAATTCTAAGAGTACTTTACTTTCCTGTGTACTGAGCCTGAATCAAAGAGATATTTGCTTCCAATAACTTCGAGTATTTAAGCATAACTTGCATTTCATGACTGTAATTTTGCTCTTGCCTGAGTTGGATACATCAGCAAAAATATTAATTTTGTTAAGGATTCTATTCAAGAAGGCATTAATATCTATTTCTGGAAAATTAATCTTTCTGTAAGAAATGGACAGTGATTTTGGTACAGATGCAACATAGTATTTTTCATAAAAGTATGTTTCACTTTGGTATATTTCATTGTAATTTTTTAAACTTCTTTCTGTGACAGCTTTTTGGAAAGGCTAAGAAAGAAGCTAAATTTGGGAAATCTTTGAAGATTCATTTAAACATATTTGAATTATTATTTTTAGTAACAGATTAGCAATGCTTTTGCTTTCTTCGCTTTCAGTGTTCAAATTGGCAAACGAAAGTTGGTCGTAAAAATGATAATTTTTTTCTTTAATCTTATATTAAATATTTGTATAATAATCTCCAGTTCAATCAAAAGTTCAAAAAGACTTAGAAATAAAAAGTATTTTAAGTGGTCATTGTGTTTAAAGACAATAGAAAGCAGAAAGCTTTAAGCACCCCAGATGAAGTAATAGGGTACATTCTGTAGACAAAAGTTGGACTCATAGTTAGGCTTTTAATAATGCAGTAAGACATTATTAGAAAGACACTCATCAACAATGATAACGTACTTTGGACTTAATAGTTATCAAAACCCACAGAAGTTCTTTCAATATACCCACAGAAGTTACTTGGATATAACAGTATTAGAACATAATTTATTTTTATACTTTTTTTTCCCCTGAGAATGACTGGGTAATTTATTTTAAAGAGTATTAAAAGAGGGCAAACCCCAGCATTTGAAGAGACATTTTTTTGTTTGAAGGATGTTTTGCATCACTGACATTTAGTTCCTATTTTCCAAGAGAAAGAAAAAGATCAGGTATTTATGGTCACTTAAAAAAGACTCACTGCAGTATTAGAAAACCAGAACTGAAATACCTTCTCTGCAAACCGCGTGTTTTCTAGGCATAGAGGATAAAAACAGGATATTTCTTTAAAAAGATTAAAATGCTTGAGAAACTAATTTAGCAGGGTTGGAGTTGAGGCTTAAGACAGAAAGAATGACAATTTAGAGG